CCCACCCCCCAGCCTAGACCCCCGTCCTGCACCCCAAACCCCTCATCCCCGGCCCCGCCCCAGAGCCTGCACCCCCAGCCAGAGCCCCCACTCCCACACATACACCCCAACCCTCTGCCCCAGCCCTGAACCCCCTCCCACACTCCAAACCCCTTGGACCCACTCCCACCACATGAATTTTGTTATTGACACATCACCTTCATACTGGTCACGTAACAAAATTTATTCCACGCATGAACATTAAAAATTAGAGGGAACATTGATGCCTGAGCAGCGGTCCCCTAGCATTCTGTTAGCTTTTTTGTCTGCCACTGCACACTGAGTGGATATTTTCTGGGAATTATGTTATTTGACAATCAAATGTATTTGAAAAAAATCAGAATTCACAGAATAATATCCACTGAATACTTTATTCAACCAGTCTTAATTATTTCTTTGAGTTAATTAGAAAAATGGCAGAAAACAGAAAATACAACTATTGCTTGTAAGAAACAGTATTGCATATATGTGGAAACAGTTGGGCTGGATAAAGTGGACAAACCTCAAAAGGTTTATAGTTCAGAATTAGTTTAGTTCAATATCTAAAAACAGATGCTTCTGCACTTGCCCAGAACTTTTAATTCCTGACTTCAATATACCATAGTACCTTTCCTTTTCCCCACCCTCCATCAATCTGAGTTTTGCTTTGGAGTGAAACCCAGCTGCTTTTTACCTTCCTCCATCATTCCCTCCACATCATTAAGGGGCAGCAGGATGGCCTCCTCTCTCCTCCTGCTTGTTTGCGTAAGGGTGAGCTGATAGGCAATCTCAGCACCAATCTCATGGACCTGCCCTCTGAGGTGCTGCTTTTACAACAAAATCTAGACATGCTCCTTTCTTTCCTGCATCTTCTACAGCATTGGCTCTTTGAAATGCAAAGAGATTTGATATCTCTAAGTGCCTAACAAAATGTTGTGAAATCCCTGTTTTCACATGAGAAATAGGATTTGGGATTTCAGGTTCAGGCCCAGTGTAATCTGTGCCATCTAAATGAGTGTTAAAAGGCAAATGTAGCAACAGGACCCAGAGAAGAATTTAGGGTCCAGTTGCCTGAATGGCCATCTGCCCCTGAGAAGACTTGTCCATGGAGATGTCTTATAATGTGGTAGAAAACTTCTTTTCCTTGGGATGTAAACATTAACCTTATATATGTAATGATCAAGTGGTCACAAACATGCAGCAACACATGACAATGTAAGGAGTCATGTTTGATTAAATTCCAGTCCTTTTCTTTACTTTGTTCCAAGCTGAACATGACATTTTACAGGGATGAAGTTTAAGAGAAATTTCTATATCAGGAATTTATACCAGGCAAGTACAGAATGGTCTGAACTAAAACACCGGATCTGAACACTCCCAAACTTTGGATGAGTTCAGATCTGGATCTGAACTTTATGGGTTGGGCCTTGTTGTGCAGGAAAGGCAGATGAGACACCACCATCTCTTGGACTTTCATAACTCCATTGATCTTCTTAAAAAGTTGTTAAACACGTGTACCAGAAACATGGCTACCAAATACAAAAAACAAGGAAGAATAACAATCTTTACTACTGTATAGTGATCCAGTCAATCTTTCCAATCCCCAGGCCACACATAACAGACATCAGAAAGGTATGCTATTTGAATGATAAGATACTTACGTAAACAAGCTAGTGAAATGGAGTCAATCAAGAGATGCTTGAAAGTGTTATAAGTTTGAGATTAGATTTTTCTATAATATGTCCAAAAAATTAATGTACATTTGTACATATAATGTTTTTGAAGTAAATCTAATGTAACTCATATGATGTAATGAGAAACTGAAGCTGAATTCAAATTAGGACTCTATTCTCTTCCCCTATCATGTTATTGGTGAGATCCCTGTATCTGGAAAAATACCACATTGTTGTCTGAAATAAACTAATATGTTAATAGGTATAAGTACTGTATAGCTTGTAGCTCTATTATTTGTTGTAATTATGTGTTCCAAAAACAATCAACTGTTTATTCTTTCAACTGCCAGTTTAATTTGCCTAAGGTATCTCTCTGCTTAGGACAATAAGCCATCTGTTTTGTTGTTAAACAGCCTTCTGGTTGTCAAGTTTTTGTTATGATAAACTGTAATCTTGCCTTGCAGGTGGTACTGTGAAGGAAAGGAGCTTGAAAACTCACCAGACATTCATATTATCCAGTCAGGAGATCTGCACTCCTTGATTATAGTTGAAGCTTTTGAAGAAGACACCGGACGTTATTCTTGCTTTGCTTCAAACATCTATGGGACAGACTCAACTTCTGCAGAGATATACATAGAAGGTAACATTACAAATCTTTGCAAAATGAAACTGATCATAAATCTTTAAAAATAGAAATATGTGTTTTATGTACTAGCACTACATTTACTGGTTTGCTGCACAGCTGACTAGCAGAAAGTCAACAATTCCAGTCTATTAATACATTTTATCATTTTCTCTCTGAAAGTTCTTTTATATAGGTATTCTTATTGCTCTTTAAATACATTTTTACTAAGCCTTGAGCCTGCAACGAACTCAGATCCAGGACCTCTTGCAGATCTCATTGTAAGATCAGGGACTAAAAGTGCTGAGATTGTGATACCTCTCTATAGTTCTTTTCTGTAGCTCCTCTAGAAAAAAGAAAACTCAACCTATGTGTCTAATTCCCCATCAATCTGTTTTTCTCGCACTTGTTGCACAAACATTTGAGGAATATGATAGTTCTGGCAATAATTATTATTTCAACGTGGAAAACTGAAATATAGCCTGAGATTCACCTGTTATCCCCAACCTGTAGCTGTATACAAACAAGTCCAACACATACTTTGATCCTTATATCTGCATATAATATGTACTGTAAATGAAACTGAATGTATTTGTTTTCTCAGATTTAAGGCTCTTTCTCTCATATTTTCCATCCTTATGTTCCAAAAACAACCCATTTAGCTAAAAGTGGGTTCTGTCTATCACAGCTGGGTTTTTACACTGGACCCATTATCATAGTAGCCGGAGTGCCTCACAAATTTTAAAAGAAATTCAGAGGATCTTGGTTTCTCTCTCTCTTTCCAGACTCTAAGCAGAAGGATTTTTTATTTTATATTTTTGTTAAGAGTGTGTGTTTATTGTGAGTTATATGACCTAACTTAGTTTGGCACTATTCCCCTCCTAACTGGTCAATAGCTGTTGGTGCCAAAAACTATTAACTGGCTAAACACTGGCTGTAACACTGCTACCGAGAATAAAGAAATCTCAGTACTAGGTAACTCTTGTATTTTAGCTCATGTAGGGCAAAATTACCTTCTACACTTTTCCATTTACACTTTTGCTTGGTTTCAGTATTGTCAGCCACATTTTGGATAAAAATGGGAAAACAAAATAAAATTGTGCAAAAATAATGCAGTTTAATATTTGTGGTTGCACGGGAGAGAACAGGGAGGCCTGCAACCAAGCAGACAGTGACCCTTTATTGGGTTCTGATTGGTTAAAGATGTCTCACCTTGGGATTTACATCTTTGTGTAGATAGAATGAGGGTCACCTAACTAGAGCCTTTTCATTGTTTATGGGGATGAAGAGGAACCTCTTTGTTGCATCTGTAAACTTAATTGCTCTTCAGTTGATTCAGGCCCTGAATTAACAAAGGACTCTTATAAGCTTAGTTCCTTTTTAATGGCTCATCCCAACGCTTTTCTCAACTCTGTCCTAAGGGTCAAAGGCAAAGTTTAAGCCTTGTTACCCTAATTTCATTTATGATTTCAGTCTCATAAAATGTAATAGAATAACATTATTCAATTTTTTTAGTCATTTTAATTGTAAACATATATTTCCATCGGTGTATTCTCTTATTTTTATATAATGGAAAGACAGTTTTCAAGTTTTCAGTTATTTATCTTACTACTTCAAATAAAATGGCTTATTGATGACCTAGCAAGTTTTACAACTAATCCTGTCATGACATTATTTTATGGTTAGTCAGCTTCCATGGGTTGTTCTTAAGCAACATCTAATTCTGTGCAACCTTCAGATACACTTTGTTAATTTAAATTGTTTATGGATTTCATGCAAATGACCATAAAAGACAAATTTAAGCAGCCAGACAACCTTCTCCTGACTTAGGAAAAAGCTAATAGGAAATCATTACATTTTTTAAAATTGCTCTGGAATGGGAATATTGATTTTAATATACGTTTTGTTTTCTATGTGGAGTAAAGTTTTTCCTTGTATCTATTTGATTCCAAAATTCAATATTTAAATTGTAAGAGTGTTTATGGTATATATATATATATATATATATAATGTACCTTCTACTTGGTTTGGCAATGTAATATTACATTGCCAAACCTAGCAAGACCTGCTGTAGTTCCATTTTCTATGTATTTTGTACATACTACTGTATTTAGGGTCAAATTTGTGAGATCCTTACTCGTGCTAATGAGTATCTTACACCATGACCACTCCCATTAAACTCAATGAGACTGTTTGTTGAGGAAGGTACTACTCAATATAATGTATCACAAACCATCCTTTAATGATATTCTCTCTCTGTTTCTGCAATTTGCCAATGAAGAGACAAATCATGAGAAGTGCTGAATACCTGCAACACCCACTTAAAACAATGGGAGTTGTGGGTACTCAGCAGGTGCTTACTATCTCTCCAGATTTGGGTCACAATCTGCTTTTATAAAAGACAACTGGAATTGGATAGGCAACACTGCTAAGTGAAGACATTCACTACTAGGCACCTCAAAGAAAAAAAAAACAGATTCTGAGCACAGGGAAAGCAGAGTCAGATATTGTCTTGAATACCAGGCCACTGGCAAATGGAGCTATGATTTCTCTTACCAAAACAGTGCTCAACGGGCAGTGGCTGGAGGAGGAACCAATAACCCAAAGAATACTACATGTGGTTACAGGTCCCTGATGTTTTTGTGCTAGTAATACCAAATGTCTAAGTATAAGCGCTTATTTGACCACACAATACTTCCAAAGACATATGCCACAGAGCATAGAACAGTCAAAAGATTTAGATATTAGTGACATTTTAAGGAGGAATTGTGGGGCATCCAGCCAGACAGTCACTTTAGATGATGTTTTCTTCACTTGAATCCATCCCATTTCAAATCTGTATTGGCCCAAGATTTATCATTAGTAGTGTTGCATTTAATTCAGGATACAGTGTTGCTTTTAATTCAGTATACTGCATTACTTCATCTTTACTGCACTTAGGCCTGGTCTACACTAGGCTTTTATGTCGACTTTAGCGCCGTTATATCGAATTAACCCTGCACCCGTCCACACCAGGAAGCCATTTAGTTCGACATAAAGCTCTCTTTAAATCGATTTCTGTAATCCTCCCCAACGAGAGGATTAGCGCTAAATTCGACATGGCCATATCGAATTAGGCTAGGTGTGGATGGAAATCGACGGTAATAGCTCCGGGAGCTATCCCACAGTGCACCACTCTGTTGACGCTCTGGACTGCAGTCAGAGCTCGGATGCTCTGACCAGCCACACCCCCGGGAAAATTTGAATTCATTTTCATTTTCCTGTCTGGGCAGTTTGAATCTCAGTTCCTCTTTGGACATCGAGGGGAGCTCAGCAGCAGTGGCAACTATGCAGAGCTCTCCAGCAGAGATGGCCGTGCAATCTAATAGAAAGAGGGCCCCAGCATGGACTGATCGGGAAGTCTTGGATCTCATCGCAGTGTGGGGCGATGAGTCCGTGCTTTCAGAGCTGCGCTCCAAAAGAAGGAATGCTAAGATCTACGAGAAGATCTCCAAAGCCATGGCAGAGAGAGGCTACAGCCGGGATGCAACGCAGTGCCGCGTGAAAATCAAGGAGCTGAGACAAGGCTACCAAAAAACCAAAGAGGCTAACGGACGCTCCGGATCCCAGCCCCACACATCCCGTTTCTACGAGGCACTGCATTCCATCCTGGGAGCGGCCGCCACCACTACCCCACCCCTGACCGTGGACTCCGAGGATGGGATCATGTCCGCGGCCGGTTCCTCGTCGGACATGACAGCGGACGGGGAAGATGAAGAAGGAGATGAGGAGGACGAGGCAGTCGACAGCGCTGGCACCGCTGATTTCCCCGACAGCCAGGAGCTCTTCATCACCCTTACCGAGATCCCGTACCAACCGTCCCCATCCCTTACCCCGGACACAGAATCAGGGGAAGGATCAAGCAGTAAGTGCTGTAAACATGTAAACATTTATTTAAAACAGAACGGTAATATTTATACTATTAACAATGTACATTTATAAAAGTTCTGTAAACTAGTAAAAAAATAATCAGGTACAAAACAGGAATATTTACAAAGGTAACAAATGGGTTTTCATGATTTCTCTGTCTTAGGCTCTTCTCAATTTAGTCCCAAGTGTTTTAAAAAATTTTCACAATGTCCGTTACTCCATGATTCCCAGGCCCAAGACGCTCCACTCCATAGTCCCAGTGCACCTACGCGAAAATCCGGTCAATGTGGCCGGGGATCGACGAGAAATCCTCGTAGGAGAACTCCTCGTAGGTCTCGTGGAGGTAGAGCTCAAGCCTGTTGATCAGGTTCCGGGGTAGGGCGATCTTAGTGGGCCCTCCGTGGTAGCAGACATGCCCCCTCCACGCCACAATCAAGTACTCCGGGATCATGGCCCGACATAGCATGGCGGCATACGGCCCCGGTTTCTGCATGCTTTCCCGCAGCATGCGTTCTCTCTGGGTGTCCGGGATCCTCAGAAGGGTGATGTCGCTCATGACGCCCTGCTTTGAATTAGGGAGGGGAATGTTAGTATTGGGACTGCTTTACAGCCACGCGGTGGAGGGAGAGGGGCAGCATACAGGGATCTTTCCCTGGGACAGCCGCGAGGGGGTGGGACAGGGGCAGAGTTGATGCTGTCCTGATTGCTGGCAGCAGAGACTGGCATTGCTTTCAATGTGAAAGGAGGCCAGTGCTACTGCTGGAGTTTTAAGCAGCCACAAGTCTGCGGCTTACCATTATTGCCCGCTCCAGAAGTTCAGGTCTCCAGCCACGCTTCTCAGATCACTCCAAGACCTCCGCAAGTCCACAGGCACTGAAGGCGACGGCCGAAAATTCGACCTTGTCCTGAGTGCGCATGTGAGAGGTGCAGTGCATGGTCTTGTTCACAGAGAAAGACTAGGTTCTTTGTATACAATTTCATTTATCTGTCTCAGGAATTCACTCCCTTTTCACAATTCACACAGACACATCTGCGACTGTCTCCCAACCCAGCCTGTCAGCACACTCCCAGAGGCTAGCGCAGATTAGGCGGAGGAAGAAGAAGACGCGTGAAGACATGTTCTCAGAACTAATGGGATGCTCCCGAGCCCAGGCAGCCCAGCAGACACAGTGGAGGGAGAACTTGTCACAAATGCACCGAGCAGTCATGGAACGGGAGGAGAGGTGGCGTCAGGAGGACCAACAGGCTACTGAAAAGCTGCTTGGACTAATGAGGGAGCAAACGGACACGCTCCGGCGCCTTGTGGATGTTCTGCAAGACCGGAGGCAGGAGGACAGAGCCCCGCTGCAGTCTATCTGTAACCGCCCTCACCCGCCACCAAGTCCCACACCACCCTCACCCAAACTCCAAAGAAGGAGGGGCGGCAAGGGCCGTTAAAACTTTCAGTCAACCCCTGCAGACTGCTCTAGCACTAGAAGGCTGACATTCCCCAAAATTTCATAAGTCCTTTCCTACCCACCTCACACAAGCCCCCGTCCAGGTTTCACCCCCCACGTTTCATGTCTGGTTCGCAATAAAATGTTTGTTTCTCTCCATTACTGTTTCAGTCAGGTTCTTTTGAGGGAGAGTCTGTCTGGAGGGGGGGAAGGGGCTTGGTAATTGGGCAGGACAGTGACCTTTAGCAGGGTACAGAGGCGGTGTCAGGTCCAGCATCAGGACACATACACAGTGCAGTCACTGGTTACCCTGGTCAGTCTGGGAGGTGTTTTTCATGTTCTCCATTGAAATAACCAGTCCACCAGTGCGGAGCCTGGCATTCCGGGAGTTTAGAAGCATCATTTGCATCAGAACACTGAACCCGCCCCCCGCCACAGTCTGCGTCCCCGGTTTAAAATATTCCCGCGAAAACAGCAACACAGACAACGGTGTTCATTAACAAAATCGAAATGATTTTATTTTTTGGGAAGGGGAAGGGGGTGAAGGGGGTATGTAACTGGAGAGGATAGTCAAAATGAACTGGGTAAAGAAACGGGGGCAGGTTCAGCTTTTCTGTCCACAAACTGAAAAGTCACTGGTTGCCCTGCTCACTCAGGAACCTAGCTTTCAAAGCCTCCCGGATGCACAGGGCGTCCCGCTGGGATCTTCTAATGGCCCGGCTGTCTGGCTGGACGTAATCAGCAGCCAGGCTATTTGCCTCAACCTCCCACCCCGCCATAAAGGTCTCCCCCTTGCTCTCACACAGATTGTGGAGCACACAGCAAGCTGCAATAACGATGGGGATATTGGTTTCACTGAGATCACAGCGAGTCAGTAAGCTTCTCCATCTCCCTTTGAGACGGCCAAAAGCACACTCCACTACCATTCTGCACTTGCTCAGCCGGTAGTTGAACAGTTCTTTTTCTGTGTCCAGGGCGCCAGTATAGGGCTTCATGAGCCAGGGCATTAGCGGGTAGGCTGGGTCCCCGAGGATGACTGTAGGCATCTCCACATCCCCAAGAGTTATTTTGTGGTCTGGGAAGTAAATACCTTCCTGCAGCCGTCTAAACAGACCAGAGTTCCTGAACACGCGAGCGTCATGAACCTTGCCCGGCCATCCGACGTAGATGTTTGTAAACCGTCCCCGATGGTCCACCAGTGCTTGCAGCACCATTGAAAAGTAGCCCTTTCTATTGATGTACTGGCTGGCCTGGTGGTCCGGTCCCAGGATAGGGATGTGAGTCCCATCGATAGCCCCACCGCAGTTTGGGAATCCCATCGCGGCAAAGCCATCTATGATGACCTGCGCGTTTCCCAGGGTCACTACCTTTGGGAGCAGTACCTTCACGATTGCCTTGGCTACTTGCATGACAACAACCCCCACGGTAGATTTGCCCACACCAAAGTGGTTCGCGACTGACCGGTAGCTGTCCGGCGTTGCAAGCTTCCAGAGGGCTATGGCCACTCGCTTCTGGACAGTGAGGGCTGCTCGCATGCGGGTGTCCTTGCGCTTCAGGGCAGGGGACAGCAACTCACAAAGTTCGAGGAAAGTCCCCTTCCGCATGCGAAAGTTTCGCAGCCACTGGGATTCATCCCAGACCTGAAGCACTATACGGTCCCACCAGTCCGTGCTTGTTTCCCGGGCCCAGAATCGCCGTTCAACAAAATCCACATGCCCCATTGCCACCGTGATGTCCTGGGCGCTGGGGCTCGTGGTTTCTGACAGCTCTGTGCCACTCTCCGACTTCAGGCTCTCACGGCGGTGCCGTAGCCTCCTCGCCCGATTTCTCTGCATCTGCCTCAGGGAAAGGTGTATGATAAGCTGCGAGGTGTTGAGAACGGCCACAAGTGCAGCGATGGTCGCAGCGTGATCCATGATCGCAGTGCTGTGGCGTCCGCGCTGTCACTGACCAGAAAAGTGCGCGAACTGATTTCCCGCCGGCGCTTTCATGGAGGGAGGGAGGGCGTTAGTGACAGACGGATGACGACAAATTTTTTTTACCCAGAAGGCATTGGCGGCTCGACCCAGAATTCCGATGGGCAGCGGGGACTGCGGGAACTGTGGGATAGCTGCCCACAGTGCACCGCTTCCAATATCGACGCTCGCCCCGTTAGTGTGGACTCACAAAGTCGAATTACTGTCCTTAGTGTGTCCTTAGTGTGGACACACACGTTCGACTTTGCAATATCGATTCCACATATTCGATTTAAGTAAAATCGAATTACCCTCGTAGTGTAGACATACCCTTAATCTTTTGGTTTGTTTTAACTTTATAATCCTAATTTTAAAAGTCTATATAAGAAATCCTAATAATGGAGGTTTGCATACTTACTAGACAAATTGCTGAAAATTTTGATTCCATGTGAAATGTTTTTGCCCTTCCATAGGTGCCTCCTCTTCTGAATCTGAAGGTGAAATTAGCACAGAAGAAATGGATCAGTAAGTGTTGCTTGCGTTAAGATATTCCAAAAAATTTACTGTAAAAAAAAAAAAAAGTAGGTGTGTGATTAAGTTTTTAAAATATGTTTAACCTCTAAAATATAAAATGGGAGAATTTGTGGTTGTTTAAGTGAGCAGTTTCCCTTCTTCAAAGTGGTAGGTGCACAGATCCTCAGTGTGGGTCACCACCTGTTTTTAACCATAAAGTACAGAATCAAAAGTTGACTGGATGCTTGACAAGAGACTACCCCCCACCTTCCAGGGACCCCCCTCAGTTTCAAGATGCTTCCAAAGCTAGCTCCTCTGGACTCTGAAACAAAAAAACCAATCTCTCGTTCTGCATCAGCACCTTGCAAAAATAATACTCAACAAGAAAAATTTAACTACTGCAGAGAACTGTAACGGTAAGTTTAAAAGATCTCCCTCCTATCCCTTCAAAGAAGGGGAAAATTGTCAGGTAAACAACCACAAATTCTCCAATTCTAAATCCATAGATCCTCAGTGTGTGATTTTCTGAACAGTGACAAAATTCCTAGGGAAGGAACAAAATAATGTCACTGAGAGAAAGGATTCCCCTAATCTATGAAATCACTGCAGCATGCAAGACTTGCCAATCAACATCTGCATCAGCTGAATACTGAGTATTTCTTGTAAAACTTGGTAAATGTATAAAGGGATGACCATGTTGTAGCTTTACAGATTTTATCATAAGAGACCTCCCTTTCTCATCTCATGATGCCACCACCACTTGTACTAAGTGAGCTCTGGTGCCCTTTGGAGGTTTGAATTGTTTTGCTCTGTATGCGTCAGCAATGCACCAGCATATCCACTGTGAGATTGATGATTCTGATGCCTTAATACTTTTTTTTTTTTTTATGAAATAAGACCAGTAAGGCTGTTTTTCTTATGCAGTTCTTTTCAGACAAAACTTTAAAGCTCTCCTTACATTCAGCTAATGCCATAGCTTCTCCTTTGGATGAGACGGATGTGGACAAAAAGAAGGCAATGAGATCTCTTGTACTTAATGAAAAATCAAATCTACTTTTGGAATAAAGGTGGGATCCATTTTCAAAACCACCTTATCTTTGTGAAACTTGCAGCAGGATGGATCAACTGACAAAGCTCCCTACTCTGACACCCTTCTTGCCAAAGTGATAGCGATCAAAAAGGTCATTTTGATAGTCAAGTAATACAATGAAACTGATTTCATAGGTTCAAAGGGCGCCTGCATTAAGGTATCGAGCAGCACAATGTTCAAATCCCAAGACAAAGCTCTCTGCGCCTTAGGGAGATGCAATAGCTGAACTACTGTAATGAAGCGCTGAGATTGTTGAAGATGACTCTTTCAGAAATTTACTATGTATCTATGCTGTTGCAACATTTGGATCAGTGACTGAGTCACTTGAGCGGGCCCCTCCTTGGACGGGACTCGGATTAGAATGTTGCCCAGGAAGGGGCATACCTATATCCTCTTCTGCCTGCGAGGGTTCATTATAAAGTAAAATTATGAACATAAGCTAAAATTATGACTGAAATGTGTTTATCAGACTAGTCTGGGGAGTAGGTAAACCTGTTCCTCAAAGACAAAGGACAAGCTGATGCCTCTAGCCAGGTGTCATCAAAGTTGATTGGCAGTCACTTGTCAAGAGGCCATTCTTTGGCAATGAAGAGGGACAGGAATAGGTTAAGCTGCATTTTAACAAACAACATGGAACCTCTTTCACCACAAGACTCCGTGTCTCCGTCCTCACAGTGGGAAGGAACTTTATCTAGGGATAACTCCAGGAAAATGCAGGAACTCTGCTGAACTAGTGAGGCATTATGTCCAGTGTTGGAGTTTGCATTGCAGGAAGATTTGTTTCTCCCCTTTCAGACTTAGCCTTGGGCCATTTGCTTTTGCAGTAGTCCTGCCTTCTGTATTTAGAGGAGTAGTCATGAAAAGGATATGTAGGCCGTAATAAGACCAGCTATTCTTTTTCCCAGATTTGGAGTTAAGAGGGTTCTGTAAGGTCTTTTTAAATTTATCGGAGGATTCCACCATCATTTTGTCAAACGACGCCCCACATAAGCAACTTCCTGAATATTTTGAAGCCCCTAACATGATTTCAGCCAGTATATTACCTTTCCAGGCTCGTAATGAGAGGTGCCATCTGGTCACCACACCAGAGGCCAAGGTATGTGCTGAAAACATCAAAGCATCCCTGGTTGCATCAACTTTGAATGCTGAAACCATTGAGATTTTCTTTAACTCCAAACCTAACTGCAATGATTTCTTAGCCTTTTTTGACAGTTTGGCTGCCAAATTGTCATTCAAAGCCAGTACTGCTCTTGCAAAACATATTGCTGCAGCAGAAGACCATAGAGAGGAACATGTAGCCTCAAATGACTCAGGTTGGCTTGGTTCATGAATCTTCTTCAAATTTTGGAATTGACATGAAGCTAGAGCTGAGCAAATAATTGATTTTTCAGCTTGGTAACTAAACCAACTTTTTTGTTTGTTTAGTTTCTGCTTTGGGTGTTTTTTAAACCCTCTATTTCTGTTGTTCTTGTTTGTTTTTTAAATAAGTCTAGCTGAATTTCAAAATGAAATGTCATTTCAAAACAAAAGGTCAAAACATTTTGTTTCAAAAATGTTGAAATAAAACATTCAGACTTTTTTTTTAAATCATTTGTTTTGGCTGAAACTATTAACTGAATTTGACCAATCAAGTGCATTTTTTTGGCAAATAAAATTATTTGAAAAATTTTGCTCTGCTCTACCAAAAGCCCTACATGAAATCAGGAGAGTTCCACCAGTCTTCAAGTTTCATAATGAAAGTTATGCACAGCACTAGCAATGGCTTTTCTAAGGGTCTCATTCCTAACAGTTCTTCTCTTTTGCAAGATTATTAGAGGATGCCTCCAGGTGTGTCAACTATTTTCCTGCTCTTAAAGAGATGGGAAAACATCACCTGATTGTTGTCTCCAGCTTGCTTGCTTCAGTTAGATTTTGAAGCCATGTACTGCAGTCCTGTATTTCTTGGTAAAGAGAATGCTGCTCTGAGTTAGTAGCTAGATGTCCCCAAAGAATAGGCTTATGTTGGATTAGATGTAGGATAACCAGAATTTCCTTTTCTTGCTACTTAGCTTCCAGCTGTCATCACATGAACTTGAATACTCTATATTTAAAGGAAATGAATACTACATCATCTGCTAAAAACGTAACAACTCTCACCTTTGCAAATGAGAAACCAATATTTCCTGAAGCTGTATACTCAGTTTGCAGCAGTGTTTTTTCAGACTCTTGAGACTGGCTTCCCTGGGAAGGTTCTGATACCTTACAGAGGAGGCGCGCATATGGCCCAAAGAAAATGAAAAAGAAGATTGTCTCTTTGTTTTAATCATTTTTACTTAGCACTAAAAATAAAACAGAACCAGCTATCATATTCAGCTGAATTATAAATGGAAATGACATAGCAGAAATAAAAAAAAATAATTACATCTGTAAAATGTGCTACCAAAATTCTTAGTATTTTTGTCAAAGTGAAGCTATTCCTGCTGTTCTTTTTTAAGAACCAGATTATTTATTCTGTGTCATAGTAGACAACAACATTTCTGTTAGACTCTGAAGGCCAGATCCTCACATGTGCCTAAGGAGCATTGAGTACAATTGAGGAAGGAATGTTATGCATCCCTTGTTCCTAAAGTTGGCTCTGTGCTGGTCCAATCCCCCACTATAGACTGGAGCAGTTTTAGAGTCACAAAACTGGTTAATCCATGCTGGTTTTTATAATATACTGTAAAACTAAATCAGCCACCTGAGTAGTATATGGCAAACTTATGCAGCAAAATTATTAGCTCCACATATATATTCCCACGTGAATTGACTTTATCACATTGATTTAGATGAGACCTAAAGTTAATACTAAAATGAAGTTTTTATAGTATTGTAATACTGTGTATATTATGGAAGCCTAGGTAATCAGAGAGATCATCTATGCAATACTATCCTCTACTCATAAAAGCACACTGCTCATTTTTAGAAAAAATTGTTTGTTTGTTTGTTTGTTTAAATATTTCAGAGTCCAAAAACCAACTGACGTCTCTTTGAATGCACCATCTCCTGCTACTAACACTACAACCACTCATCAAGAGACACCAAAGGTGCCATCTACTGTGGGTCAGCCAGTTTATCAGGTACAGGAAATAATATTCTATATGATCTATTTAAGAAAAATCTTTTTTTAAAATATACATTTTATACAACTCAATTTTTACACATGATGTGCCTGTCTGATAGACATAGCTCTGAACCTCATGATGATATGTGGTTGCATGCACACATAGATGTCATGACCGCTAGCTAACCATATAACATATGGCAGAGAGAGTGGAGCCTCTTGCTCCCAGAGCATAGGCATCGGAAGCGCCGGGAAAGTGGTAGGTTTCGGAGCCAGAGCCTAAACGTCTAAACAGCCTTTTTTAGCTCCATAACATGAGACCGAGTCGGTAGACCTGGGGTCTGAGATTTGCTGTCATGGGTTTTTAAATGCAGCATAGTCATACCCTATGACTATGAGGCAGTGAGCAAAAGGAGCAGCTGCACCATCTCAGCCAGTAGAGGGAATCCATGCACACTCTACCAGGTCAGACATTCCATGTAGTAAAGGGCAGTTGCATATGTAGGTCAGTTCATTAGTGTCTTCACATTACAGCCTGATTTGTTCACATTCAGTAGTGACAGACATAACATGTAATGTAGCCTCTTTTTTCCTGATGGGACTCATTGCAATTAATTTTAATTCAGTGAAGCTGCTATGATTTGTGTTAAAGTGGTTTCTATAATGTTTTTATTTAGCATATTATTTTATATTTTAATATTCCTGTTTAGAGTTTTCTAATTTATCTTACCTTATAATTCTTCTCCTTTGTGAAGGAAGGCAGAATATTTGCCTTTAAGAGTAAACTATTTCCCTCTGTAAGGGAAACCGCTAGCCATAAGCAGATATGACTGAATTCTTGATGAGCAACTTCCTTAAAATGTTATGTTGAAGCCTATTTACCTACTCTTTGCCAAGAGTGTAAATGAGCTATTTATTTGCCTGGACTTTACTGTACATATAGTTAGTGGTGTATTGTATTGTACCTATATAATATTTAGGAAAGGTATGAAATACATTGGCAAAAATTATTTGTACAACAAATTTTTACTATATTTTATGGCTTGATGGGCTAACAAAATAGTGCACCAAATTCAGCTCTCACTCATATTAGGGTATAGTTGAATTAACTCCTTTAAAGCAGAGTTACTGTGGATGTACACCACTGTAACTGAGAGCTGAATTTCTTCCAGGAAGTTAAATGTAAATAATGGCAATTACACAATGGAATTGTGGTAGCAATAGCACAAATTAAAGATATCCATTTAACTGGACATCTTAGGTCCATTAGGAAGGAGTAAAATGGATAATAGCAAAGGTGTTAGACACAGTAGGTACAAGCCCTCCTTTGTTAAATTCTCTACACCTTAATTATCTTTTCCATTTTCTTATGTGAAATCATATAGATGAGGCATGCTCTCAAGAGACAAAGTGCTGTCTATCAGTTCTGATTGACAAGGGAACAGGCGTTTCATTCTGTGACACTATACCAGTACAGAGAGGAGGATGTTTCTAAGGATATTCAAACTAGTTTTCACTCACCCATCTTTTCTTGGAAAATAATCTCTTACCATTTTCCCCCCTATGGATTCTCAGGACTTAATTGCTCATCAGCTTTTTTCTCCCACAGACTTTGAGGGCCACATTTTCAGAAGTGGCCTTTCATTTTGTATTTTTATACTTGCATTAAACAAAAATTGAGTAGTTAGGTGTGCAAATGTCCAGTTTGCAAACAAAATGCAGAAATTGTGCTCCCATGGTTGCATACGCAATTTACTTCAGCAAAATTAGAGGCCATCTGAAAATGTGCTATCAAAATAAGATTAGCTTGTGATTTCTGTAAGTCATTTTCACCTCAGAGGCTCAGTTTAGTTAACCAAAGGCTCTCCATCATAGTTATTAGCACATCTCACTTACAAAAACTGAAAGGTTTATACATCTGCATAAGAAGTCTGTATATAGTAGCAAGTTACTGTGAAACAATTAGCCATCTTGGGCCAGATTTGGGCACTCAAAGATGCAGGTAGTTTCCACGTGGGATTTACAAAAGCCCACCTAATGCCTGTATCTTTAAGCACTTGAATACTTTAAAAATCTGGCCCCTTATGTACAAAAAACCTCTCTGTGATGCTTTCCAGGGATACCCAGGGTGGTAAGGCCCCTCGCTACCACCTGCTGTTAGCATCAAGATGTCTTGTCAGCTCCCTGATTTTTGCTCTCTCTGTTAGCAATAGGCACACATTAACCCCCAAGGCCTCCAAGCCTCCCTCAGGCCTGCTCAGCCCACGATCCATTGAACACTCACTGAACTTACAGATTCTCTAGTCCCAAAGGAAGAGTACACATCAGCTTACTAGCTGTGACTCAGGATCACCACTCTGCTTAACACATCGTATTTAGATATATTTATAGTGAAAACAAGATTACATTTATTATGAAGGAACAAAGATTCAAATTATAGTAAGTAAAAATATTGGAAACAAATGATTACATATAAAACAAAATCATAACATGCTTTCTAGAGCCTAAACTTAACTCCTAAGACATTCCTTAGTCTCATATAGTATGGCTTTCCCCAAATCCTTTTCCCAGTGTTTTCAACCAGGATGGCTGAGATCTTCCTTTCATAAGATCAAGCACATTGGCGTTTTCTCTGCCCAGACTGAAGGATGCCCAGTGTACCTCTATACCCCCAGTTACACCCCTAAAAGTTCATTATCTTTACTTGTAAACAGGATAACCCCGCTGTTGTTTTTTCCTCCAGCATTCGCAATCTATTCATTAGCATTTGAATTAATATGCAAGTAGACTTCCATTGTAAAATACACAATACACAATGGTCAGCCAGGGAGATAAGTATCTCCCATCTCCTGCCTGGAGAAGTCTGACTCATTGCATGCTACCTCTGTGTGACCTGCCTTTACCTACAAGACCAGGGCCGGCTCTGGCTTTTTGGCCACCCCGAGCGGAAAAAAAAAAAAAACCCGGGGGGGGGGGCCGGGGCGGGGGGGCGGGGGGACGGGCGGGGGGGGGGGGCAGGGGGAGGGAGCGGGCGGGAGAAAGAGAGAAGGGGGCAGCCAGGGCTACAGCAGGGGCACTGCCACGCGGCCCCTCCCGCTGCGCCGCCTACTGCCGCCTGCCGCGAGGGCTCCGCTCCGGTCGGCGGGGAGGGAAGGAAGAGGACTGCCCTGCCCTGCAGGGCGCTCTGGTTCTCCGCGCCGCCGCCCCCTACAGGGCGGCCGGAGCAGAACAAGAACAACAACAACAACAAAAAGCCTCCGTGCTGCCCTAGGATTGGGCAGAATGCCGCCTCCAATAATCTGCCGCCCCAAGCACCAGCTTGCTCAGCTGGTGCCTGGAGATGGCCCTGTACAAGACCTTAAGGACATAATGTTCAGTATATGTACATAACTGATTACACATTATCTGCAGATACAGTTCACAATAATTATGATGACAAATGTGACACATGCTTTCAGTAGAGACCTTACATGACCGTTTTTGGTGAACCCAGGGGATACCTCTAACCCTATGTTCCCCTGTGCCCTCTCTGCCAGTGGCCATCAAGTGGTCCTTGGGTCACACTCCTCACTCTTAAATTCTGATGAACTAAAAATCTTGAGGGAGTTCTGATTGTACTACCCTGGGGATCCTGCTATACTGATCAGCCCTCTACCAGACATTGTCAAGATATCAGTCAACACAGATTTTAGATGCGTATATAAAAATGAGGTCTGCTGAACCATGGTAAATTTCTCCATTTCCTGGAATTAAGCTGGTAACTTCAAACCTGATGCCAAATCACTGAACTAATGGGAATTTGCTGTTGACTTCAACAAGAACAGGATTGATCCTTTGAGTGAACCCAGTTTTAACAGCATTGCCTGGGGCATGCAAGCAAGTCCATCAGTTGTCTAAACAGAAAAAGTCATCGGTTTCAGTTTTGTTGGCTTGTAAGAAACTGCTTTTGAAATTTGAAAGCCTCCTCTCTCCAGTGAAACTGAAAATTTAATTATATTGGTTTTGGGCTATTTCTGCTCCCCCAGAAAGGAATTGTATAACAAGCTCTGGTCAGCAAGTTATGCAATGTAGATTAGAAAAACTCTGCCAGCAGCATGATATTTTCATTTTGATTCCACTCACCCAGCTGAGTAAGGTCAGTGGGGAGGTATTTCACCTCTGTAAATCTGTTTGCTTTGGCAGATGAAGGTCACACGTATGATTTAAATTTCTAAGAATTAACACCCCCTAAGTATTTTATAAATTGGAATGCTCACTTAAAAAGAGCCTACCTCTCAGGCAGCCTACATGGATTTGCCTTGCTGCAGTACCCATGGCAGATACAATGCCTGTAATGAAAAATTCAGTCCCCCTTTCTAGGGTTAACATAGTAAAACAACTCTTTTAAAAAAGTTTAATGGTATACAGGCAACAGCATATCCAGGAAGATTACTATCATTATCAGTCTTCTACAGAGCAACTTCTGTTCTCCAGTTTAAATATCCTGGTCTGGATCCTCAACCCCATTGTTTCTCATACCGCATTCTAGGTAATGCCATGAAAGAACTCATGACTGTAAAACTAAACAGGCTTTTTATTATGAAAATTATTTACAGAAATGCAACTGTAGCTATCATTTTAGTCACGTGCACACAAACTGGCTTCCTTGTACCTAGGGTTGCCAACTTTCTATTAGCAGAAAACCTAATGCCCTTGCCACGTCCCCTGCCATGCCCCTTCTCTGAGGCCCTGCGCCCCAGTCACTCCATCGTCCCTCCCTCCATCACTCGCTCTCCCCCACCCTCGCTCATTTTCACCGGACTGGGGCAGGGGGTTGGGGTGCGAGAGCTCCAGCTGGGGATGCGGACTCTGGGGTGGGGCCGGTGATGAGGGGTTTGGAGTGCAGGAGGGGGCTCTGGGCTGGGGGTTGGGGCCAAAGTTTGGAGTGTGGGAGGGGGCTCCAGGCTGGGGCAGGGTATTGGGATGTGGGAGGGGGTACAGGCTCTAGGCAGGGGGTGTGGGTTCCAAAGTGGGGCT